GGCTTCTTCGCCGGGCTGCAGCGTCTGGAGGGTGCCGGAAAGGTCCTGCCCAGCTGTGCCAGATGTGTCCAGCCTCCGTCAGCCGGAGCCTGGAGCCAAGGGGCCAAGCTCGCGCCCGTCCTCCCACGGCGGAAAAAAAGGTGACTTTGGGCGAGGATGCCTGGGAAGAGGGTTTGGGTTTGGATCTGCGGGGATCGCGATGCGAGAAAGCAGAGATGCTTTCAGGATCCTCTTGATCTTGGAAAAAGGTAACGGTTTAAATGCAGGAAGCGTTATCCGCCCATCGGAGACCAAAAGGAGCGTGGCTCACAGACAGCTCCTTGGTTTTGCCTGTATGAAGCTTGTGTTTGAAGAGACCCACAAACGCCGCTCGGCGGTGGCCATCAGGGCCGTTAGCCCCCGCAGCCACGTCCTGGACCCGTTCGCTGCGGCAGGCTGTGGTGGTGGGCGAGATTTCCAGAAGCTTTCAGCGTTTCCCCAGTCCGTCTCGCTTTGAAGGCAGCAGGAGGGGTTGTTTGTCTCTTTCTGATTGTTTTTTTCCTCATTAGCTTCAGTGGAAAAAGAGCGCAGCCACCACGGAGGGCTTTGGGAAATCACAGCCGATTGTGCTCTGCTTTGAAATGCGTCTGGGTGTTCCCCGCGAAGTCCCCGGGAGCGGAATCCGCTCTTGGCACATTTGAGCCTGGTGAATAAGCTGGAGGACAGGGAATTAGCTGTAACCGTCGTGCCTCCACGCTTCATCCCTTTGAAGAGTCGGTTGATGTGACAGCGTGGGCACCGACGCGGCCCCCGGGCGTGTTTGGCTGCAGCTACTGTGACATTTTGTGCAGCTGGTGTGCGTGACTCCGAGACCAAAGGCGCGAGAGCTGAAACCCAGAGGTCCTTGAGGACGCGGCGAGGACGGGGCGGGACGGCAGCCGGACTCCTAGAAACTTCGCCCAAAAGATGCCGTTTGGGCAGCAAAGCCAGGGTGACCTGGGTCCACCCCCGTGCCAGGCTGGTGCAGGAGTGAAGCCTTCGAGGCTGAGAGCATCCTTCGGAAGCTCCTGGGGCACGCAAGTCACAGTAAAGGTTGAGGTGCGATAAGGAGGGGAAAGGAATTTGCTGACGTCTGCTCCGGCACCCGTGAACGTGGGTCTCTGGCCCCAGATTTCTCCCACTCCTGAAATGCTACAGCTTTGCATCCTCTGCGGAGAAGCGGTCTCCAGGATTACGGCACAGAGCTATCCCCGGTGCCACCGACGCGCCGCCCTTCTGCAGGAGGTGGAGCGAGGTGTCCCCTCCATCGGGAAATTCCTCTGCAGGAAAATCCTTGGGGCTGAGCGGCTTGCAGAGCCCTCGGGATTTGGGCTTGAGAGGCTGCAGGTGGACGAGAGGCCACGAGGGCTTCGAGGTGCTGGTGGCACCGGGCAGCGCTGCCGGTACCAGCCGTCTGCCGGCCAAGGGCGGGCTTGGGG